ATAGGACCTGATTTTGCACTGAGAATACATACTAGCTTTGTAGTGAGAATACACATACTTAATTGCTGCCTCCCCTTTTTGGAGAAAATTAATCAGGTTTAAACCCAAATATTTTAAACTTAAGAAATTCTTAGGAACATAAGTTTGATTATTTTTGTTTATACATTTTTCAAAGATAAAGATAGTCTTTGAAAATGTTCAAATGTGAGCATTTATAACATGAATTCTATTTCAACCCTGTCACTCTGTCCTTTGTTTTCTGAAAAGATGTTACTGCTCACTCAGTGTTTTGAACTTTTCACTCCCTGAGAGCTCCCTGAGAATTCTATAGACTTGTAATTATTGGCAAGATGGCCATGGAGGATACTGGATTTCTGTCAATAACTAATTAGAATGGAAGCTATGTCAGTCCAATAGCACAGTTCGTCAACTCAACGAGACACACAAAGAGAATACTCGTGGGTTCAGTTTTCAGACCCAAGGCCATTGCTCGGGAAACTGTCTTCTTAGGCAGCTGTACTACCATCACCACCCACTTGCCACCATAGAAAAGCAGTGTTGGACCAGTGCGTAGTCTTGAGGTTTTAGAAATGCAAACTTGTCAACACAGGCAGTGTCAGGTTTTCCAGAGATCAGCCAGTTTATTCATTGTTCTTAAGAAACATGTGCAGTATCATACAATGATCTGGGCCTTCCCTGCCGCTGTGCAGACATGAAAGTGGAGGCTACTACAAGAGGAAGATCTCTAGGCTTAATTCATATAAGTCCCAGAGAAACTTGATAAAAAATATTGATTCCAACCACGAATGCTTCTGATCATTAAGAGAGGGTCCTCTCCCTTCACAGTACTGGAAAGCCAAATTCTGCCCAATTCTAGTTCTCCCATGTTGTGGTACAATAAGCTGTACACATCATTCAAGCCTTGTTCTTCCCGGCTTTCAGCGTTCTGTAAGATGCAGATATAATTTGTTATTTTTTTTTATATATTGAATTTTTGTGAATGTGATGAGTGGTAAGTACTAAATAGAAGTTTGATATTTTCCATAATATGAGCCTGTCCCTATTTGATGGGTACTCTTTATAACCATTAGTTGTTCTCAGAAGAGCCTCTATCAGGTTATGAGTGACTCTGTATATTTAATATCAATGAATATTATAATTGTTTTAACATTAATCCTAAGTGGTAATGTACCCTGGCTTTTAATGGTGTATATTGTGCCTCCTAGTTAGTAGAATGTGTCCAATAATGCCCACTTATTGTGATAGATTAAAACTAAATCAAGCATGTCATTAACAGTTCTAACAGCGTGATTGGTGATATGACTCTCCTTCCATTCATGTTCTTCATAAGCTCTCTATAAAGAGCCAGGGTCCATAACATCCAAAATAACCGAACAGATGACCGAACAACTGAAGTCAGTCCTGCAATCAGTGCAGGCGTAGTGACCCAGCACTAACTGCTGAGGGGGCTGCAGATCAGGCCCAGAGAGAAAAGCAGGGTCTGACTCACAGCCTCCATGGCAGCTGTTGATCAGCAATTGCTTCTCTTTCTCTCCGGGCCTCGCCAGCAGCCGCAGGGTGGGTGCTGATCAGCCCCGCCACTCTCATCAGGCCCAGAGGTAAACTCAGAGACACTGACTGGCATAGAAAATGGCCAATCAGAACCAAATCTGGGTGAACTGTGAGGAGCCAATGGCTGCCTAGGAGGTGGAGCTTTTGATGCTGAGTGGCATAGAAACCAGCCAATCAGAACCAAAATCTGGGTGAACAAGGAGCCCATGGCTACCTAGGAGGCAGAGATTTTGATGCTGACTGGCATAGAAAGTGACCCGTCAGAACCAAATCTGGGTGAACTGCAAGGAGCAAATGGCTGCCTAGGAGGCAAAGATTTTGACACTGACTTAGCATAGAAACTGACCAATCACAGCCTAATCTGTGTGAACTGCAAAGGCAGAACCTAAGGTGGGGACTGAGGAGGGGTTTTAAGGGCAACAGCTGTTTAGTGTAAGGTGTAAGAAAGTGGTTCAATATTTTAATGACCGGTTTGGCAGTATAGTGCATATGGCTGACTAGCAGTCCAGATTTAGAGATTATGTATTTTTGTCTGCCAAAAGCATCTCTTCCTGCTGAAAAATGCCCCTCCCCCCATTTAAGCAATCCTATCCTATATAATCTATATAATCTATACTATGCTAGTTAGATTGGGTCGACCAGCCATCTTCCAGATGTCTGACTTCCTTTCGGACAAAGCCACAGTGGTGGGGCTGAGGCAGAGGCAGTTAGGGGCAATCAGGGTGGCAGGGGGGCAGTTAGGAGCAAGCAGGCAAGCAGCCAGGCAGATAGAGGCAGTTAGGGGCGATCAGGCAGGCAGGCAGGTAAACAGTTAAGAGCCAGCAGTCCCAGATTGCGAGAGGGATGTCTGACTGCTGGTTTAGGCCCGATCCCTGTGGGATTCCTATGAGATTGGACCTAAACCCGTAGTTGGACATCACCCAAGGGATCCCCAATTGAAGAAGGTGCAGGCTGAGCTGAGGGAACACGAATTTCATGCACCAGGCCACTAGTGTCTTAATAAATGAACATGCCTTGGAAGGCTGCCTGCCATACTGCTTTGTAGTATAATGATATTACTTATTGGGAAGATTATATAGGCATGATGAGAGCATTGATTGGAAAATTGATCTCTTATCTTCTAGCGGTAAGTCTTAAGTTATAGATTGACTGTTTTGCCATCAAACTGGATAGGAAACACAATTGGTTTGCATTTGTGTTTTGTTTTATTTGAACAATTGATGATTGGTGACATGCATTAATTTTGTGTTACCCTTGTGGTAGCAGATACCTTAACACATCAGCATGAAAGTATGATTTCTAATCAAAGATGATGCAGTTAACAGGGTTATTGTCAAGATGCATGAGGGCAGTTGACCAATATACAATCAGGAGGTGCTTCAAGACTATCAAGCTGTTGCCTTCAGTGTTGGTTTGCACATCAATTGGTTGCAATTGTATCCATCATTTCAAAACACCATAGCCCAAAAATATATATTGCGTTTGATACATTTCTCAAGTTTGGTGCTTTGTGTGTTTGTTTGCTTGCTTGCTTGCTTGCTTTAAATCAAAGAAGGGGATTGATGTTTTCATTACCCTTTATATTTTACTCCTTTCTTTGAGATCTCCCTTGGGAGAAAAGAAAAATACTGCTAGAGACTCTCCAACAGACGTGGACCACCGTGTTCCAGAAGTGTCAGCCTTTGAACTGGACATTGTTCTGACCTTTTTTTCCTCTCAGTATTCCTTTTCTCGGAATATGGGATTCTACCTCTTGAATATGACCATTAATTTCAGACAAGCATTAACTTTAGTATTCACAGAAGAATGTTAGAGTATGCAGCCTTTTGGGTGCTATCAGATTCACAGGTCGACTCTTTGGTTATTTTTGTTCCTAGTAAAGTACAGTGGGAACACACTATCCTCAATAAACTGTAAGTTATCAAGGAAAAGATCTTTGTTGTTAGAGCATAATTAATCTAAAATATCACAAAGCATTTTAACATGAGAAACATGTGCATACATTTTTTTTACTATTAAATTTTGCTTTTGCTTGTGTAATAGAATCTTATGTCAGTTGCTTCAATTCTAAATGGGATGTCATGAATCTTTATTAAGTACTGAAAAAAACTTTTTTTTTCAGTACTTAATAAAGGAAGACATTCATATCTAGCAGTGAATTTAAGAATGCTTAAAAGCTATTTTATAGCCTACCTTCTTTTTGAAATATACCTAAGATTGTGCTTTGCTCTATAGTCAGCACATGGGCAAGCAAAAAACAAAGGCTTGAGGGCCATAGGCCCTTTGTCTTCAGGCCTCAGGTTTGTTGCAAGTAGGAGCCATCCATACATTGCATTTGAGCCTAGGTAAGAGACTGGTCTAAGCTAGCTCCTGTTCCTGCCATCATCCCTTACTAGAAAATTCTCTCTTATTGTCCTTCCATACATTTAAGAAATATACATGGGGCCCAAGCTGGTTTGGCTCAGTGGATAGAGCCCATGGAGTGAAGTGTGCTGGGTTTGATTCCAGTCAAGGACATGTACCTTGGTTGCCGGTTCCCTGGTCCTGATCGAGGTGCATACAGGAGGCAACCAATAGATGTGTCTCTCTCACATCAATGAAAAAATTTTTTTAAAGTTTCTTCATATATTCCTCTTTTGAAATTAGCTAATTTTCTAGCTAAAATTATAGAGATGCTATGAAAGGAATCCACTTAAAAATTGAGAACAAAACTTTGTTTTTATTAAATTGGCAAATATACACATTTTGTGATATACCTTGTTGTTGTTTTTTTATAAGTTCCAATGATTTCTTTTTATTAAAATTGTAATGTGTCAAAAAAATTGTAATGTGTCTATCAATTTGTGACTTCCTTAGAAGTTGTAGAATGAGCTATGGTTTCTTGTATTGTGCAAAGATTACTAAACTTTAAATTCTTAATTTAGAAAATTTCCCTCAGGTTATTAGTAATATCTCAAGGGTCTAATTTTTATTATGCAGTTGACCTTCATTAAATCAATTTAAAATTTGTTCCACATGGAGTAAATCCCTCCAAATAATTCAATATTTTCTTAAAATACATTTTTGCCATAACCAGTTTTTTAAAGAAACTAAGGAATGTTTAGAAATCTCGTATTTCTATTTCTACAAATAAGACAGTATATAAGCCAGTTATTTTTATTTATTTGGCAAGTACTATGTGATTGTATTTAAACAACAAATAATTCGCTTTATTCAGCAAATTAACATCATTAACTAACTTAACACAAAGTATTCAGAGAGAATGTCAAGAGTTCACCAAGCAGGCAGAAATCATGAACTGATTCTCCTTTTACAGGTTGGATGGTGTCAGGTAGTATTCGTATTCCATTATGAATTAGAAGATGTTTAATAAAGTTGCCACCTGCAGTTGCCTCTGAACTCCAATGATAATTATTTCCTTTTCACAGTGCTTCAGCTGAGGCTGCAACAGAGGCGGACGCGGGAACAGCTTGTGGACCAGGGCATCATGCCACGTAAGATTCAAGTGTCTGTCATCTCTAATGTAACAATGGGCATGTCCAAGAAGAACCTGTATCCATATAATCAATATGTAATTACCAGATAAGTTTATAAGAAAAACCAGGCTTCAGCATTGCCAACCTAATTTAATTATTTAAAACACATTTTGAAAACTCGATGCTTTTTAAAAATTGGACTCAAATTTTTTATTATACGGAGGAACACCTTTAAAACTCTATAATTAGGCTTCAAACTGCAACTGCTGTTTTAGTTTTAAATAATTGAAGTAATCCTACATAATGGATCCAGTGTTACTTAGACTTGCAAAAGTAGCATATAAAATTAACTCAAAACCTTATTCTGTTTTAAATCATTTAAATTATCTTTTATGCTATAGTATGGGCTGTAATATTAAGTGTGTTTTAGTTAGAGGACTAATAAATACTCTATTTATAATAAATAAAATCTTCCTTGCCTGAGTACAGATATTTTCCAATTAGCTATTTCTAAGCTTCAATCCTTCATTTTTTGAGAGTTGGTTAATTTTAGAAAATTTGTTCAGGTTGTCTTCTTTAACTTTAATCATCAAGTAGAAGATGATGCCATATTTTAAAGGGGAAGAGTGGTGGTTGTTTTAGGCTATTAGGATTATTTATATGGATTTTTTCGGAAGGAAGGAAGGAAGGAAGGAAGGAAGGAAGGAAGGAAGGAAGGAAGGAAGGAAGGAAGGAAGGAAGGAAGGAAGGAAGGAAAAAAATTACAAAATACATTTACTAGTATGCTTCCCAGTCTTCTGAATTATTAATTTTTCCTTTTTGGGTTTATAAGGAACAGTTTTGCTCTGTAGTAATTTTTCCCATTGAAACTTTTTTTCTGGACTATTAATTGTCTAAATATTTTTAAGCTAGCATTGTGACAGAGTCAAAGCTGGTTTAATAATCTGCCAGATTTCTTCACCACTACATTCCTGACTATGAACAGGATCAATCAAATAGGTACAAATTATGATGTTTAAGATACCACTGCTAAGCCAGTCCACTTTTAGAAGCTGGTTTCCGCTTTTAGAAGTTGATCCCTAGCCAAACCTGTTGGGGCTGGCTGCTGGGAGTCTCTGCAGTGCTTCAAGTACCAGAGCTGACAATAATAATGTTATAAGAGTTGATGGGCCAACTTTTGGAGATGACAGCCTAAGTGAGCCTAGCTAGTCCTGTATCTCACCCACATCATCTAACTGCCTGTAGTCATAAGTGCAGGGTGTTATCAAACAGTGGTGGACATGCAAAAGATTTTGCAAAGATAAATGGTAGAAAAACTGCAGTAGACAAGGACTTAGTAAATAAGCACTGCTTACCCTCACTTTGGGATTCTGGAATATTTAATGTACTATCACTTAACATATTAAAGAATCACTATGTCTTTAGAGTGGTTTGCATTGTGGTGTGGTAGAAAGAGCATGAACCTTTCAAATTCAAAATTCTAGATTTATTTTGATCACCATTTAGCTATATAACTTTGATCACCATCTAGCTATATAACTTCAAGAATTCAATTTACTTCTTGGAGCCTTTCATCTATACTGGGGCTAATGCCTACCTTGCAAGATGGTTGTGATGATCAACAGTAATATAATTGTGATTGACCACAGAACACTGGGCTAAGCCTGTTGTGGGTTCTCAGTAAATAATAGATGTGTACAACATGAAGTACAGTGTGTCTCATGTTCAAGGTTAGATCACTCAAGGTTAAATGTCCTAAGAACATTTGGGCTTTTTCCAATAGCTTATATGGCCAATAAAGTCCTGTCAAGGAATCATCAGAGTTCTCTTGGTGATGATAATTTGCCCCAGCAATTGGTTGGAACTAATCTAACCTGATATTTGCATTGTCATTATATATACAACTCCATTTTAAAAGCTTACTTGTTTTATTTATGAAATACATAGTTTTTTTTAATTTTTGAGTTTATTTGAGCTAAACTGATGTATGTCGGGGAACAAGACCTCAAATGTTCCTATAAAATATATAGTGTGGGATGTTTTTCTGTGTGTGTGTGTGTGTGTGTGTGTGTGTGTGTGTGTGTGTGTATGTATTGATTTCAGAGAGGAAGGAAGAGAGAGAGATAGAAACATCAGTGATAAGAAAGAATCATTGATCTGCTACCTCCTGCACATCCCCCACTGGGGTTTGAGCCCGCAACCCGGGCACGTGCCCTTGACTAGAATTAAACTTGGGATCTTTCAGTCCACAGGCTGATGCTCTATCCACTGAGCCAAACCGGCTAGGGCTGAAATATATAGTTTTAATTATGAAACACTTAAGGTTCCATATTTTGCAGATTTCCTAAAGGAACTAGTAAATAAATGGAACTGTAGATGTGAACTAATAAGGTTAAGAAGAAAAATCAAGAAAATACTGTAACATTTGACTGAAGTATTAACTCTTCTATTTATACTGCGGAACCAATTTATTTTCCTCTCCCAGCCTTGAAGAGCCCAGCAGCATTCCATGAGCAGATAAAAAGCTTGGAACGAGCCAGAGTAAGAAATCTCACTTTAAAATGTTCTACTTCTCTGCTTTTCTCTAATTTCAAAGTACCAGGGGACAAGTAGCAATCTTACTCCTACATATGTCAAAAGAGGAACTGCAGTGAATTTGCAAGATATATGCCATATAGAGTAATATATCCTGGGTTAATTTTAACTTGGAAGTTGGTAGAAAATACATGACATTCAAATTTTGTTTTTAAAACTAGTGACTAATTTTATATATATGACAAATCATATAAAAATACTTCTTTGCTTACTTGCTTTCAGAGCATAACCAGTTTTCAGAATAATAATGAAGTAATTCTGCCATTTGTTACCCCAGCAGATGGACACAGACCCTACTGTGTTACCTGTACATCTAACCAAGGGTAGGAGAATCTGACCGAATGAATGAATATGGCCACAAGCCACTCTGTTTTATTCTGAGCTGACTCCATCATAGTTGTACACCGAATTGATATTTATTACTTTTCTTTAAAAGTACTAATATGCACATTTTTCTTTTTGTTTTAGGGAAAACTTCTATCATGTTTTATGAAAAGCATTTTCCAAAAATTCCTTTAGAATTTTCTCAGGATGCAATAATGATCTCTTAAGAGTCTTACAAAATAGAAAACTCTATTGTTTAGAGTTGAGTACAATTCTGAATAAGAAAATCTGATCAAGGATATGAACTCACCAAAGAAAATATATGAGTAATTTTATTAAATTATTATTTAGGTGGATTTTTTTTACTTGACCTGAGTTTATATTTTTTTTAAAAATTTAAATGTGTTCAAAAATCAATTTTAAAATTATGAGGTCCATAACTTGATTACTTTATAGCAGCATATACTATGTCCTTGTACAATTTTGAAGGCTGCAATTTAAATCAAATATTGGATAATAGTTTCTCAAAGCATTAATTTCTACTTTTCTCTTTCTCTCAAAATCATGACCAAAAGGGTATCAATTAATTTAAATGGAGCACCTTGAGAGAAAAATATGTAAAACCACAATAAGTCATAATCAATTTAATGATAAGATTTTTCTTTTTTTTAAGACTGAAAACTTTTTGAAGCACAAGATTCGAAGCCGACCAGATCGTTCTGAACTTGTCAGGATGCACATTTTAGAAGGTAAAAGTTTTATTTCTGCTTATTTTATGTGAGAATGCCACCATTTCTCTTTATTCCCATTTAATAGCAACATGAAAACCCAAAGTTATGTTAGATACATGGGAAAGGTTTGATTCTCCAAATAACCTGCTGATCGACTGACTCTTTCCCAACCAGCTGGTACCATAGGTGTCTATCACACTGTTCTGGAAAAACATTTTCAGTCCAAAGGAATTCTCTTCAGCAAGAGACATGTGCCCACTCATTAAGTAATAAAGGGTACAATAGCCACAAGTCTAACCATAGATTTTCAGCTACTTGGACCCTGTTATGTCTGCCTGGTACAATGTCCACACCTAACATTATTGCTTTGTTGCTACTTGCCCACAACAATCCAGCTTGATTTGACCATTATCTTAAACACCCTCTACTCAGCCCATCAAATTTTCTCCTTCTGGCCTCATCACTTATAAAGCTGGTAGGGATGATTCTGTTTCATCTTTCGTGAGACAAATGGCTAAGGCCAGGATATTTTTTTCTCTGAAGACATAGCATTCTTTTTTTTATTATGGTTGGCACTATTACACATGCCCCCCTGGCTCCCCCCTTGCCTTCACCATTGTTGTCTGTGCCCATGCGCTACACATATGCATTTCTGTTCTTTGGCTAATCTCTTCGCATCCCCCCCACCCCTACACTCCTCCCCTCATAGCTCTGTCAGTCTGTTCCATGCCTCCATGCCTCTGATCCTATTTTGTTCATCAATTTATTTTGGTTATTAGCTTCCACATATAAGTGAGAGCATATGGCATTTGTCTTTCTATGACTGGCTTATTTCGCTTAGTTTAATCTCCAGGTCCATCCATACTATTACGAAAGGAAAGAGCTCCTTTTTTACAGCTGAGAGAGAGACAGACAGATAGACAGACATTGATGTAAGAAATGTCGATCCCATCAGGGGTTGAACCCACCATGTTTTGGTATACAGGACACTCTCCACCTGAGCCACACGGGCTTTTATCCACTCATCTACTGATTGATACTTTGGCTCTTTCCAGATCTTGGCTATTGTAGACACTGCTATGAACATCAGGGTACCTATATTCTTTCTTATTAGTGTTTCGGGGTTCTTCGGATATATTCCCAGAAGTGGGTTCACTGGGTGAAACAGCAGTTCCATTTGTAATTTTTTTAGGAAACTCCACACTGTTTTCCACAGTGGCTGAACACAGAGCATTCTTGAAAGCTGGTATCACTACCATAAATTTCCCAAGTTACATTTTCTTTCCTTGTTTTGCTTCTCTGACTAATTTATTGAGCAAAACGAGGAGCTTGACCCTGTGATAGTCTTCCGTATGTTAAAACTTGAAAAGATACAGAAAGAATCTGAAAATTCCTCAATTATTATGTAGAGGAAAGATTAGATCTGTTCTCTGTTGCCTGATGACAGATTTAGTATCAGAATTAGGTTGACATTAATAGTAAGGTATTAGGTTGTAGCTCAACATAAGGAATAATCCCCTAAAAATACAGACTCTTCAGGAAGCCACATGGCGGCTGTGATCAGAGGTGTTTAGTGATTGGCCAGTGAGCTAGACACAAGAGGCCAGCAAGTGAACCTGTCTTCATGGAGTTTACATTCTAATGGCACCGACAGACAAACAAAATAAATGAATTACAGATTCAGAAAAGTGCTCTATCTGGAATAAAAAGGCTGCTATGAGAATGAGTACAGGCTGACACCATATTAATGATATTGTAAAGAAGCTACAAGCATAACATTAGTCTCTACAACCTCAAATAGGGTCTTTCCTAGTACAAAGAATCTATGATTATGTGACCGTCTTCATATCAGGGGCTGGAAGTGGAAGCCCCTGGCTGGCAAACTCTTCAGGTTGTGTTCTCAGAAGTCCACTGAACTAAAATACTCCAGTGGTAGGGCAGGAGCAGCTACCAGCTATCAGGGATAAGTGAGCCTCCAAAGAAGTAATTTACTGGTAAGTGACTAGATACATTAACTGGTAAGTGACATTTATCTAGTCACTTACCAGTAAATTACTTCTTTCTCTGCCTGCAGACATCATGACCTATAAGAGGCATTTTTGGAGGAACAATGCTGCCTGTTTCATCTTACCCCTAACTGTAACAGACTTTATTAATATAATTAAAACCAAGGCCAAAACTATCAAAAGAAATCATATTTGCTTTTTATAAAGAAGGCTACCCAATATTTAAAAACCTAATCATGTACATGAATGAACCTTAAGTGATGTTTTTAAGGCATCTGTCCTCAAGTTGGAATTCTTGAAGAAAAAAATGTGTCATCTATACTGTTTAAAATGCCTTAAAACCATCCCCAACTTATTTTTAACATTATCCCGATTTTATTGGCTTGGATATTTGGCAGGCAAAAGTCTAAATTATTTTCTGAAGTTCAGCAACTAAAATCCAGCCTCAGCCTAATGGAAATGAGGTGGTAATAAGACTAGGGACAGCAATATACCGAAATACCAGCTTCGATGAGTATTTATTTTTGAAAAATATTCTTTCCAAACATATTCCTGATATCACGAAGATTGTGTTGACGGGAGAGAAGAGGAAGGCAGAAGACTGCTCTACCTAGATCTTAGCAGAAGCATTTAAATATCAATCTAAGAGTGCATGATCTAATTCTCGCAACCTGTCATCCTCTATTGTTGGGAGTGTTTTACTTAAGATTGGGGCCACAGTTAATTATATGCAAAGTCATAAAAATGAGATGACTACACGTTATTTTAACTTACGAACATGCATTTATTTGCCAAAATTCTGAGGAGGGCTAGGACCTTCACTTTGGGGAAGGCTTTAATGAATGGAGTTCACTTCATCTTTCTTATATAAAGCACAACCAGTGTACATTGTCTACAATTTCCATTTATGGTGAAAGAAAAACTTAGACACTTGAAAAACAATGTGAGTTTTTAAATCCTGGATTTTACAATTTTCTCCCAAATCTTTTATAGTTATTAACTGCCCTAATTTGACAGTAGTTTTTTTAATGATTGACCTTTTTCAAATTGTTCTGAAGGATTTGTACAAGTTTCTAAGAGCATTTGAACAGGTTTCATTTTATTTTTTTTATTCTTATATTTTTTAAAGTCTTTATTGTTGAAAGTATTAATAATCATTCTATTTTTGAACTTTGTCTTTCCTCATAACATCTAATTATATTATGTATTGACATTAGCAATCCTGACAGATATGAACTATTTTGTGGACAGTCATGGTTTTGACAAGCATATAAATCAACTCGTGGAAAGATAAGTGCAGTGACTCATGATCAATATGGGTTTGAGCTGTACAGGTCCACTTATATATGATTTTTTCAGTCAATGCTATAAATGTATTTTGTCTTCCTTAAAATTTTCTTAGTATCATTTTACTCTAGCTTACTTTATTCTAAGAATACTGTGAATAATACATATAATATATAAAATATGTGTTAATTGGCTAAGTTATCAGTAATGCTTCTGGTCAACAGTAGGCTATTAGTAGTTAAGTTATATGTAGATTTTTAAAATATATATATATATATATATATATATATTTATTGATTTTTCACAGAGAGGAAGAGAGAGGGATAGAGAGTTAGAAACATCAATGAGAGAGAATCATTGATCCAGCTGCCTCTTGCACACCCCCTACTGGGGATATGCCCGCAACCAAGGTACATGCCCTTGACCGGAATCGAACCCGGGATCTTTCAGTTCACAGGCCAACGCTCTATCCACTGAGCCAAACTGGTCCCGGCTATATGTAGATTTTTGAACACACCAAACCCCACCAAGGTGTTCAATGGTCAGCTGTACTCAGATGCGCAGCAGAGTAGTTTATCAGTCTCAGGTTTGCAGTGAGCTTTGGCTTCAACAAGGACATTTTACCTACAAAATGAAGAACATCAGTTAATCCTGAGAGTACTTACAGAGAATTTCATTAAAAGACCTTCTGTATAATTTAAGAGGCAAGCAACTTTCAACTTAAAATTCTGAGTTAACACCTCATCATTATGTTTGAACGATTATAAACATTATTTAGAACAATGTAATAAAATGTTAGAGTTATGATAAATACAAGTAATTGACAGAATTGTGCAAATGAACAAGTTATGATGTTTATAATAGTTTCACAACTTCATTTATTTGTAAGTAGATGAGTTGATGCTTCTATATGACCAGTAATTACTATGTACAGTAATTGAATGTTCTAACAGACACTGGGTTATTTATGTATGCAGAAATAAAGCCAAATTCTTAATTATGATGATTGATTCTGAGACACATGGGGATCAATACAAGAATGTGACTTGAAGCTCTTCTCACTGACTCCTGCAGAGGTTTATATCCTAAAATACAGACTTCTAAGATACATTGTCTCTCCTCTGGGAACTGACTTTCCAATGAAGCCAAATCTAAAACAGTGAATTTCATGAACCATGGACCACATCTGTCTTGTTCACCCTCTGTATCCTGATATCTAATAAATGTGAATATGTCCCTCTTGCCATAAATGAACAATAGCATTGCCCCATTTTTTGCTTAAATTCAGGTTAATTTGAGTCAATGGGCATCCATTTGTATAAGGCAGTATAAAGCTATCCAGGACTAAAAATATAAAATATATACTGGAACGGTCTTAAAAAGTCATTTTCTTTTCCCATAAATATGTTGAGAACACATCAATATGTTTAAACCAATTTAACTTAAATTAGTTGGCTTGAAATAGCATTGTGGACTAGAGACAGTAATTCAAGTAATGGTTTAAACTGTGTTTCTTCTTTTAGAAACATTCGCAGAGCCATCCCTGCAGGCCACTCAGATGAAGCTGAAAAGAGCCCGCCTAGCTGATGATCTGAATGAAAAGATTGCTCAGAGACCTGGTCCTATGGAGCTGGTAGAGAAAAACATCCTGCCTGTAGACTCCAGTGTTAAGGAAGCAATTATAGGCAAGACTCTAAAAGTTTATTCTGGGAGGGAAAAAAGCTTGGCAGTTATAGAGAAAACAAATTTACTTTTAAAGGCCAGCACCAGTCCTAAGTATTGTTTTCTGGTGGGTTGGAAATTAACACTTGCATTGATTCCATGATTATTATTATTACAGTTGTCCCTCGGCAGCCAAGGTAGATTGGTTCCAGGACCCCCCATGGATACCAAAATCCTTGGATGCTCAAGTCCTGAATATAAATGCCATGGAATTCTCATTTAACCTACCTACCATCCTCCCATATACTTCAGATCATTTCTAGATACCTAATACCATGTTAATGCTATGTAAATAGTTGTTAAACTATATTGCTTGGGAATAATGGCCAGAAAAAGTCTGTACATGTTCAGTACAGAGGCATTCATCTTAGGCCTAACTGTATAGTATATGTCAGCAATCACGTCACGTTTTGGGGGAATATTTTTTCTCTGGAGTTGTTTGAATCTAAGGATGCAGAACCCACAGATACAGAAGGCTGACTGTATATTAACTATTGTTAAGAATAGCATCTCTTATCAGTTAACACAGAGATTCTCCTTACATCCTAGGTTTAAATCTTTAAGTTCTGATTTCCTTATCACATTTGTCTAAGTTAGACTTATTGTACTATAGTGTTTAGTTTATTGTTTTGTTTAAAATTTTTACAAAGTTCTTATTATTTTTGTTCTATTTACTTCTAAGAAAGATAAAGAAAAATAGCTTGTTCTTTGTTAGTTCAGCAAGGTAAATAGCAGATGAGTATATATGTATTCATTATGAATGGTAGTATTTTGTCCATCTTAACTCACTTTTATCGTACTTTGTTACTAATGTTTCTACTTTTTTCTGGTATAAGATTTAGCATGAAAAATAAATTCCAGAATAATGCCACTTACTCAACAAGCAAATTTGTTTTGGTTAATCCTTACCTAAGGATATTTTTCCATTGGTTTTTAAAGAGAGTGGAAGGGATGGGGAGAGACAGAGAGAAGCATCAATGTTAGAGAGACACATCGATTGGTTGCCTCCTATCCGAACCAGATCAGGGCCAGGGATCGAGCCTGCAACCTAGGTACATGCCCTTGACAGGAATCGAACCTGGCACCCTTCAGTCCATAGGTTAACTCTCTATTCACTGAGCCAAACCGGCTAGGGCTCTACAAGCAATTTTTAAAGTTAATATTCTACTTGAAAAACTATGATAGTTTCCATTACTCGTGGGACTTTCTGTTTTGCATTAGTATGAATTTCAATCTTAAGCAATTTGTAGTCCATAATTCAAAGTGATACAATCAACTATGATTCTTTTTAATCCCAAGGAAACGGGCTTCCAAAAGCAAGGTATCAGTATAGCTGGGCCACTCATGAAGTGGGACTTAGCACCATACCCAGGCACCAGCCCCATTTTTCCCATTGCCTATCAATGCTTTGTAATAGTTGGATTCCAAGTCAGGATCCAAATAAGGTCCACATGTTGCCTTTGGCTGATACACTTCTTAAGTCTTAATCTTGTACATGGGTCTTCCTCCTCCTTTCATTTCTCACTATTTGTTTGTTGATAATTGTGATAGTTTTATCTGTGGCATTTTGATTTTACTGGATGCATTTGCATCCCCGGGTGTCATTAAAAACTTCTGTCTCCTGTACTTCCTATAACTGGTAGTTAGATTCAAAGGCTTGATTTGATTCATGTTTGATTCCCCCCCTCCCAAGTACTTAAGGTAGGTAGTGGTGATATATTGAGATATATATATATATATATATATATATATATATATATATATATATATATATATATTCCTAAGTTCTTAGAAAAAAAAACAGACCAATGTTTCTCCTCCTTTTTCATTTTAATTTTGGTATTTACAAATCATTTCTTTCTTTAGGTGTTGGGAAGGAAGGCTATCCCCAAACTCAGGGTGATTTCTCATTTGACGAAGACAGTAGTGATGCTTTGTCTCCAGACCAGCCTGCCAGCCAGGAGTCGCAGGGCTCGGCTGCATCCCCAAGTGAGCCAAGAGTTAGTGAGTCACCGTCTCCAGTGACTGCAAACACTCCAGCCCAGGTATTATCCTTGTTTCTACCCCTAAATAGAGAACGTACCTTGCTTTTTTGTATATCAAGTATATATCTTGTATTTTACATATCTGTACATTCTCACTAGAAGTCTGAAAATATGGAGAAATATCTATTCACTTGTAATCTAACCACTGTTAACGTTTTTCAATAGATTCTTGCATTTTTATTTTAGTTTGTAACTCTTAAAATTTTTCACATAATTTTTTTAGATATAATTCATATATCATAAAGTCCACCTTTTTCTTACCACCTTTACCATTTATTTTATTTTATTGGTTTCAGAGAAGAAGGGAGAGGGAGAGATAGAAACCTCAATGATGAAAGAGATTAATTGATCAGCTGCCTCCTGCTTCCCCCCTATGGGGGATCAAGCCTACAACCCAGGCATGTGCCCTTGATCAGAATCGACCGGGGCCCTCCAATCCACAGGCCAACACTCTATCCAGTGAGCCAAACCAACCAGGGCACCACCTTCACCATTTTAAAGTGTACAGTTGAGTAATGTTAAATATACTCACATTGTTGTGCAAGATTGCCAGAATGTTTTCATGTTGCAAAACTGAAATTATACCCAGTAAACAACTCCCAGTCCCTCCTCCCCCTAGGCCCTAGCAACCACCATTCAGTTTCTGTCTTTATGAATTTGACTGCTTTAGATATTTCATATTAGTAGAATCATACAGTATTTTTCTTTTTGTTACTGTCTTATTTTACTTAATGTAATGTCCTCAAGGTTCATCCATGTTGTAGTATGTGACAGAACCTCCTTTATTTTTAAGGCTGAATAATACTCCACTGTATGGGTTTACATTTTTTTATCCATTTGTCAATGGATGTTGGGTGGTCCCATCTCTTGACTATTGTGAATAATGGTGCTGTGTACATGGGTTTTCAATTCTTTTGGGCATATACTCAGAAGTGAAATTGCTGGATCATATAGTTACTCTATTTTTAATTTGCTAAGGAAACTGCATATAGGTCTCCATAGTTGCTATACCATTTCATATTCAGCAGTGCACGAGGATTCCAATTAGCCACATCCTTGCTGACACTTGTTAATTTATGTTCTTGTAATAGTAGCCATGCCAGTGGTGTAAGGTGATATCTCACTGTGCTTTTGATTTGTATTTCTTTAATGATCAGTGATATTGAGCATCTTTTCATATGCTTATTGACTATTTCTATATTATCTATGGAGAAATTTCTGTTAAAGTATTTTGCCCATTTTTTAATTAGGTTGTTTTTCTATTGTTGAGTTGTAGTTCTTTACATATTCTGGATATTAATCTTCTATCAGATATATGATTTGCAAATATTTTCTCCCATTCCATGTGGCACTTCTTCACTCTGTTGATAGTGTCCTTAAATGCAAATAAGTTTTTAAGTTTGATATAGTCCCTTGTCAATAAATATATTCATTGCTTTTTATTGCTACACTAGAGGCCCGGTGCACAAAATTCATGCATGGGGATGGGGGTGTCCCTCAGCCCAGCCTGCACCCTTCCAATCTGGAACCCCTTGGGGGATGTCCGACTGCTGGTTTAGGCCCGATTTCACAGTTGGACATCCATCTCACAGTCTGGGACTATTGGCTCCCCACCACTTGCTTGCTTGCCTGCTTGCCTGCCTACCTGCCTGCTTGCCTCTAACAGCTTCTGCCTGCCAGCCTGATCATCCCCTAATCACTCCCCTGCCAGCTTGATCAACACCTAACTGCTCCCCTACTGGCCCAATTGCCCCCAACTGCCCTCTTCTGCCGACCTGGTCACCCCCAACTGCCCTCCCGTGCAGGCCCGCCCCCCTAACTGCCCTCCCCTATAGGCCTTGTCCCCCCAACTGCCTTCCCTCCCCTGCAGACTCGGTTGCCCCCAACTACCTTCCCCTGCAGGCCCAGTCACCCCCAACTGCCCTCCCCTACAGACCTGGTTCCCCACAACTGCCCTCCTCTGATGGCCTGGTCACCCCTAACTGCTCTCCCCTCCATGCCGGTCCCCCCACCTGCCCTCTCTCCCCTACAGGCTGGTTGCCCTCAACTTCCCTCCTTCCCCTGCAGGCCTGGTTGCCCGCAACTATCCCCACCTCCCCTGCAGACCTGATTGCCCCCAAACTGCCCTCCCCTGCAGGCCCAATTGCCCCCAACTGCCCTCTTCTGCAGGCCCAGTCACCCCCAACTGCCCTCCCCTGCAGGCCTGGTTGCCCCCAACTGCTCTCCTTGCTGGCCTGATCACCCACAATTGCCCATCCCTGCTGGCCTGATTGTCCACAACTGCCCTCCCCTGCCAGTCATCTTGTGGCAGCTATCTTGTGATCGGCTATCTTGTGTGATGGCATGATGGTCAATTTGCATATTAGCTCTTTATTATATAGGATAGTATTCCATTGAACTGATACACTGCACCTCTTTTAACCAATTTCCATTGTTGGTTATTTGGACTTGTTTCCTGTTTTTACTTATACACACAATAAGAGCCTCTATTGTAGTCTTATATATTTGCTACACTCTGGGGTGTTTTTTTTTTTTTTTTAAGACATTCACTGTTGAGCACTTCATTACTTCTCTGAATAATTACCAGATATGGAAATGAACTTGAACCTTTTGTTGTGCAAAAGATAAGACAGTTTAATTGCTTTCCAGGAAGGTAATACAGATTTCTAGTCACTATGTGTTTACCACAGCAGGTAATAACATTACCTTAAGTCTTGCACACCATTTGGATATTTGACTCTTTTAATTGACTCCTTGATTTCTATTAGATTGAGTTCATTTGTTCAACAATTATATATTGAGTACCTTTTATGTGTCAGATTGTATTAGGAACTGAAAATCTAGTGCATGCAAAAGGATCTAAAATATTTTTTATAATTGCATTGGAAATACACATTTTTTTATTTTTCAGTGGGTGTTCATGTTTCTTTTGGTTTTATAAGAACTGCTATGCTGTATATAATTTGTTGTTCTCTCCTTATGGTTGTCAACTTAATGGTCATTGATGCCAACTCAGCCCCATTAGGAATCCCCAATTTGGTGTGTGTTGAAGAAGGAAGCTTTATTCAGTGCAAAACAGTTCAATTGTGATACAGCTTGAATGTGAAAACAGCAGTTCTCAGGCATCCTTGAGGCCAGGCCTCTCTCTAGGTAGACTGCTCTGCGGTGCTCCTCACTGGTCTACTCTGTGCTCTAATAAGATACCTTTGTTTTAGCTCAGCCAGGGAAATGCAATGTTCAGTGAAAGAGGAAAGTGTACTCTCAGAGGGTAGCGAGTTTATATGGACAGAAGTTACTACTCTTTGTTCTAATTGGCCTGTTTTCATGCAAATGAGGACTACAAATCCTCGAATTTTGACTGGTTCAAAAGGCACTGTCCTGATTGGTCAGAATAGAACCACTCTGGTTGGTCAGAGCTGCACAACTCCAATTGGGTGGAGAAAGCCTCAGTCCTATTAGTTGAAATAGGATTCCAGGAATTTCTTTATAAGAGCTGGCTCAGATGGCAGAAAACCGTACAGGCAAGCGGGTCAGTGTGGAGGCAGGTAGTTCAGTGCAGGCTTCTCTATAAAGAGCAGTTTGCATGAAAGGTTCCTATTAAAAATGGCTGCTAGTGCTGAAACCGGCTTGGCTCAGTGATAGAGCGTCGGTCTGCGGACTGAAAGGTCCCAGGTTCAATTCCTGTCAGGGGCATGTACATTGGCTGCGGGCACGGGCACATCCCCGGTAGGGGGTGTGCAAGAGGCAGCTGGTCAGTGTTTCTCTCTCATCGACATTTCTATCTCTCTATCTCCCTTCCTTTCTGTAAAAAATCAATAAAATATATATTTTTTTTTTTTAAAAATGGCTGCTAGCATGAAAACATTCTCAAAGTCACTAATTATCCGAGAGATGCAAATCAAAACAACAATGCAGTACCATCTCACACCTGTCAGAATGGCCAACATCAACAAATCAACAAACGACAAGTGTTGGCGAGGTTGCGGAGAAAAAGGAACCCTCGTGCACTGCTGGTGGGAATGCAGACTGGTGCAACCACTGTGGAGAACAGTGTGGAGTTTCCTCAAAAAACTGAAAATGGAACTCCCATTTGACCCAGTAATCCCACTCCTAGGAATATATCCCAAGAAACTAGAAACACCAATCAGAAAGGATATATGCACTCCTATGTTCATAGCAGCACAATCTACAATAGCTAGAATCTGGAAACAGCCTAGGTGCCCGTCAGCAGATGATTGGATCCAAAAACTGTGGTACATCTACACAATGGAATACTATGCTGCCATAAAAAAGAAGGAATTCTCATCATTTGCAGCAACCTGGATGGAATTGGAGAACATCATGCTGAGTGAATTAAGCCAGTCAATGAAAGAAAAACACCACATGACCTCACTCATTTGTGGATAATAAAGAACATTATAAACTGATGAACCAAAAGATAGATATAGAGACAGTATATCAACAAGCAGACTGTCAAATTACAGTGGGGAGGGGAGGAAGATCTGGGGGAGATAATAGATCAACCGAAGGACTTTTATACATGCATATAAGTACAACCAATGGACATAAAACTCTGGGGAAGGAGGGGATGTGTGGGAGGGATGGAGGTGGGCAAAAAAAATCAATAAAATATATATATATTTTTAAAATAAATAAAATTACTACATTAAAAAAAATTACCAATGCTTCTGAAAAAAAAAAAAAAAGCTGGGGATCAATATCATCACACGCACATCTGGCAGTTGATCCTAGAGCTCCATGGGGACCTCAGATGGGTCTGTCTGCTGGAATACCTGCGTGTGTCTCTCCATGTGATCTTGGCTTCCTGTTAACATGGTGGCTGGCCTCCAAAATCAAGTATCCCAAGAGGCAGAAAACAGGAGCTGTCAGCTCCCTAAGATAAAGACCCAGAAATTGCATCAGAGAGGAAGGGAGAGGGAGAGAGCGATAGAATATTCAATGATGAGAGAGAATGATTGCCTCCTGCACACTCCACACTG